ATGCAAGGAATTGTTTTACCATGCCAAGTATATCTGTGATTTGGATTCCTCGGAAAAATTCTCAAAGTACAGATTTTGAGCTTTTTGTTTATTTTTACTGCCTGGCCCTCTCTGAGGACCTCGTCCCCATGTGCTGAGCAGGATTTTTGTTCTTACAGTGGCTTTTCCTGTAAGTGTTCCCTAGCAGGATGCGTTTCCTTTTGCATAAACAGGTTGAAACCCCTTCAAACTACAGAAGTACATCTGCTTGCCTCTTCGACGGTGCTTATAAACAGGAAAATGGGCCTGCTCTGAGTACTGCTTTTTCGATGAGAGATTAGAAATGAGGATATTCTTCCAATTATAATTTGGAAGACTGGGAGTTCAGGAGACTGGCGTGGACTCCGTGTGCGGGTGATGTCAGGCATAGTTTGCTGTGATGTCAGAATTGGGCAGACTGCATTTTGCCTTAACTTTCAAGCAGTGATTTTAAGACTCGCTTCAAATAATGACTCAGAGGTCAGTGCCAGCCATGGTCCCAGGGCCGTCTTAACAGCATTATGGACCCTGGGCAAAGCAGTGTCCTGGGGCCCCCACGACAACTACAACTACTGTTAATTTTGGAAGTTTTCCCATTTTCCAAGGGTTAACATACACAGATTAGTATGGGGCCCACGGGCAAGTGCCCATTAGGCCCGTGCGTTCAGACGGCCCTGCATGGTCCTCCAATTGGACTATCAGTGGTTTGTTCGAACAACCCAGACATGGAGCAGGGGATATATGTGTGCGGCACATTCCTGGTCTCCCAGCCAGGGCTGCTGTCTGCGAAACTGAAATGGACGTGAGCGGGTCAAAGTGCCCATTCAGCTCATCGCACAGAGGAGCAGCTCCACGGTAGGATACGCTGTAGTGATGTCCAGTATTACAAGACTGTGAACAGTAAAAGGATGAAAATAATACAACTCCCTGGCAGTTTAAGAGAGACCTCCGGTGTTTAAAGTGGCCCGCACAGCCTGCGACAGCAGCCGAGCCCTGGTGCTTCCGGGCAGCCCCCGCCCCTTTTCGGCAGGCTCAGGCAGCAGAAGCCGCAGGGGTTATCACGAAACGTGGCTGGTGGGAGGGGCGCGCCACAAGTTGTGCGGCCTGCTTGCTGATGATCTCCACCCTGCCTGATGGGAGAACCGTGTGTATCTAGTGGCGTCCTTCACCGATGCTGCGGGTGGTGGCTGCTTTGCCCCTCATTAGGTTAAGCTGTGCTGCTGTATGGATGGAGGGCACTTGGATCGCCTTGTATTTCACGTTAGCTAGCCGTTGGGCATTCAGTCAGTGAGGCTGTTGGGCACTCCTGATTTGCCAAGCGTCCCAAATAGGAAGGGACTTAAATAGGAAGCTTTGCTACCTGCCCCTCACCCTGCTCGGCTCCCATCTGCCCGTACCACTTCTTCCTCCTCAACTTATCTGGCACAGCTCACCATTTCTGGTTCCTTCTGACCTCCGGCCTGATAGCAGTGAACGAACCCTGGTGAAGGAAGGCCGGGGCACCGCAGATTGTATGTATTCTTGCAAAATGAAAAACCTAATTAGGTTAAAAATTTGTCTTCATGGCTTTAAATGGAGGCAGAAAAGCCTCACGCTTTCAGGCACAAGGTTACTCTTGCTTAATTTTTCATCAGAACGCTTTATTGGATGCTTTTCAGGGGATCCATCATTCCCGCTTTCCATAACTAGAGCCTGCATGTTTCTTCTGTCTGCTCTTGACTTCCCCCACACCTCTTTTGTTCTGAAAGGGAGCCAAATCAAAATGGCTCTGATCCAAAGCCAAGAATTACTCCCTTGGCTGTGGAAATGAAGGCTTCAAGAAGCTGCTGAGCATGTGTGTGTTCATCTTGCCTAGTTTCAGTTGAGGATGATTCAGCGGCATGGCAGGGCACCCTAGGAGGGCACTGAGTGCGCGTGTGCGTGCGTGATTGGGTGAGGGAGTAGAAAAAATGGGAAAAATTGGGTGAGGGAGTAGAAAAAATGGAAAAGTAAAGCGGCACCTTGCCAGTGATTTTTACGTTTCCTCCCCATTGTTACGAGTGGGACTGGCTCAGCTATCCCACCTCTTATCTTAGGCAGAAGAAGAGGTCTGTGCTTCCCCACTGACTTTGGCATGCCCTTTTTCTGCCTTAAGACTGGTTAGCTTTGAAATGTGGCCTCTAGGGAGGAAAAGTAAAAAAAAAAATGTACTGGGGGACTTCATGAGGATGACATTTTAGCCCTACCGACAAATGTGACATACAGATAGGAAACATCCATTAACGGCAAGGTGATGTGACCTTCCTAAGGTTAGAGATACGTATCAACATTTCCCCTGGATTCTTTCATGGGTGGCAGTTCCTTATGTTGGTCCTGTGCTTCCTTTTGAGTGCTGAGGCCTTATCTTTCTTTTGTCCCCTCCTCCTTTCTACAGTGAACTTAGAGAAAACTTTGGTATTAAGATTTAAACTCTCCAGTATGGGGCGATTTCATTTGAGGCTTGCTTGTTGGTAAATGTCGGATTTATATACAAACCTTGTGGGAGGAAAACTAACCCGTAGCTGTTCTGACAAAGCCGCCCTGCAAACCTACTGGCCCAAGTACAGGTCCTGCCTTGCCTGTCTTGCCACAACGACAAAACAAATGCAGAGATGACTCACTGTGGAGCGAGCGGGAGCCTTGTGCGGCTGCTGGGAACAGAACCGTCCCCATCTAGTGGGTGTGTGAGTGAGGGGGAGGCAGTCGACCCGAATGGGTGCAGTTCCCCACCCTGCAGCTCCCATCACTTCCAGTGCCCACCCTTGCTGGACATGATGGGAGTTGTAGTGCAACAGGTATCCATGGGCATCAGGGTTGGAGAGGCTTCTTGTAGGGTTTTGCTGTTGCAACATTGGAGAGTTGCTGGATGACACCATTTTACTCCATCTGCTGGTTGAGTAGTTTGGAGAACGTGGACTAGAGGTTTTGTTGGATCTGAGTTGAGTTGAGCTGAAGAAAACTGCAATTTCAAAGTGCTTGTTAAATGTTGAACCGTACCTGGAGGAGAAATAAAAAGATTGCCACCAACCCTCGATACCTTTACCTGGAGGGTCAGCTGACAGCAAAGAAACTTCTGAGTAGACATGCATGCAGTTAATGCTTCGGCATACCTTGAGATATGATTTAGGGTGCTTTATAGGACTTGGACATGTACAACTCTAACCCCGGATTAACTATAGGATATGATATGGCCATATCTGCAGTGTATATGTCTGTTGGCTTTAAATAAATTCATCCTTTCCTCTTTTGAATCATTGGCTATTCTGGATCAGACCAAAGGCCTTTCTGGTGCAACTTTCCGTTCACACAGTGGCCAACTGGATACCTACAACAAGCCCGGAAGTGGGGGGTGGGGGGGCAGCATTTGGGAAGTGCAGTTAAGATGCACACACCTTCAATTCCTAACATTCCTTGGAGAGAAGGAAAGGCTGCTGAGTTCCCTCCTTAAATCCCATCTTTCTCAAGATCTGTTTGGCACAGTCCCTGGTCCGCACGCCCTACTTAATAGGCGGATGTCTTGGGCCACGACCCCCAACAGCACCAGCTAGAATGACTGATGGTAAGGCATTGTGGGAGCCGTAATTCAAAACAACCGAAGGACAGCAGGTTGCTGTAACTGAAATAAATGTCAGCTTTCTCCCCGTCTACCATCGCTTCCCTCTCCCGCGTCTGTCTCCTCTGTTGAATTTAGAGTGTAAATTCCTCAGGACAGGCATCCTGCCCTCTTTGTGCTCCACAAATCACCATGCGCGTTGCTGGTACTATTTAAATAACACTACGACTGAGTCCATTATCACTGTCTTATTTAATCTGTAGTCTTGCTGAACTCTTTGATTCCTAGCCTTGAAATAGGGTCTCTTGTGCCTCAAGCACGCTCCTCTAAGAGATGCTGGAGATGTTGTCTTTCCAGAAAGCTTTCGTCCCTGCTCTGTTTCTACACTTATTTAAACAGCGACAAATGACGTCTGAGGCAGAAACCGCCAGATGCACTGCGCATGGATTAGTAATGGGGTAGTCCAGTCTTGAAGAGGAGTATGGTCTATTATCTTTTACTAGTTTTGCTGTTGATAAAGGCTTTTTTTGTACTAACAAGCCATCTGCTCTGCTGCTTGTAAAAATATAAAACTCTCACTAATGCCATTTAGAAAAAGCACGTCACCACTGAAATTGCTTAAGACTCTTAGAATAAGATAGATGGAGTCTTTCACCTCTAGATCATTGTCTTGAACTCTCTTAAGGTCACTGCTAAATGAATGTCATTACCACTGGACAGCTGCTTGGGTTGTCTGGAAGCAGCTGGTGGTTTCCCTCCTATTCCCAGGTGATCCATCTCTTGCACCCTTGTTATCAGGCTCTCCAAAAAGGTCACAGTCTGGTGATCCTTACCTTCTTTGTTTTTTTTTAAGGAATGGGTTTTGTTTATTGTGGAATAGACACTAGATGCTGTCTAGGTTTAGGGTGCCATTTAAATTTATCTTCTGGTTCAGCTTATTAGCCCAATATTGGCTTTTCTCAGTCTTCGGAGACTGGGGTTCTTGTCCCCCCCGACCGTGGAGCTCAGTGGATGTATTTGGCTCAGTCGCTGACTCTGAGCCTAACCTACCCCGCAAGGTTATTGTGAGGATAAAATGGGGAGGACAAAGAGGACTGTGTAAGACAAGCTACCTTGGGTTCATTGCAGGAAAAAGGGGGCGGTATAAACACAAATACATGGCTGTAAGCCATTCCATAAACTACAGTGAGCTCAGAAAATCAAACACAAATGCATCCCAATTTTAGAGAAATGGGTTATGAGGTAGAACTGCTGCAGCTGAAAGGGACACAGCACTGGGCTTTTAGAAGCACACTGATAAAAATGGACTTTCCCTGGGCAGTGCAGCAAAAGGGACATTCCTGGAGCTCTGTAAGTAGTGGAGGAGCAAGCCCTGGTCATATCCTGAATTTCCTATTCTCTTTTTCTGCAGAAACAATGAGACGAGTGGTTCGACAGAGCAAGTTTCGGCACGTCTTTGGTCAGGCGGTGAAAAATGACCAGTGTTACGACGATATTAGAGTTTCCCGTGTTACGTGGGATAGTTCTTTTTGTGCAGTCAATCCCAAATTTGTCGCGATAATAATAGAGGCCAGTGGTGGTGGTGCCTTCCTGGTTCTTCCGTTACACAAGGTAAGTGTGTTTTCTGAAACGCTGCTGAACGTGGTCCTTCAGCATTACTCTGTCCAACCACAGGGTTGTCCATTCCCTCCAGGATTGAAGAAAAGCAGCAACATGGGTCCCTCAGCGGTGTAAATCAACTGTGTTGCTGTTGGCACGGTGCTAGGAAGGGAAATCTGGGGCAGGGCGTGGGTCCCACCAGCCCAGTAGGGGCAGAACGAACTCGCCGCAGCTCTCCAGGGTTTTTCCAGCTCCACTTGGGGAACTTTCCTGGGAAAGTGCGTTTTCATTGAGCCACAGCTCCGGGAACCGGCCGTTTCAGAAGAAAAAAGTACCTCTGAACAGTTTGGGGAGAAATAATTCCCGATTTCCTAAGTGGCTGGATTTCATCATTTGCCTCTGGAATCTGAAAGCACGTTAAACCGGGTTAGGCACCCTGCTGCGCCCCCCCCCCCCCCCCGTGTCTAGAGGGTGGCTTGCACGATCCCTGTGCGTCGGCCGTGCTGGCTGGGCCTCGGGCAGTCGCATTCCAAGACATCTTCGTTCGAGGGCACTGGGTTGTTGGCCACTGTCACCTCCAGTATGAAATGTGGGATTGCTCTTTTCTTGCAAGGGGAACATATGCGTGCGGGGAAATCGAATCAGGGTGGCCGGCTTAGGCAGGCAGTGCCGCTGTTTGTGTGAGTGGAACGTCCACGGATGCCCTTGCCTGTCTGTGCAGTCGGTGAGCACAGGTAGTGCTTTTTTGGCTAAATGAGCATCGGCACTCACATCCTAGACGTCTGAAACAGGAGGAGTGCCAGCAGCTGAGGGTATTGGTTGGATAACTTGAGCATTTGCTAGCACGGGCCTTTTGAGGGGGTAAAAACCTAGCCACAATCCCGCAAGAGTAGTGTGTCGTTTGTTGTAGTTCTGTGTCATAAATGCTAAGCAAACCGGCCAGCCGTTCTTGCAGATGCATTTTCTGCTGCAGGAGGCCCAGCTGTGCAGCTGAAGATCATCTGGGCTGGCGCAGGGATTCCAAGCAGGCTGAGTCTTCTGGAAGCCCCAAGTGGCCTTTGCCAGGAATCTCTTTTTGCTTTCGTTGGCTGCTCCTACTGCAGACAGGGATGGCGCGTTTCAGTGGCTCGGTGGGCAGCTGCCTAAAAAAGCACGGGCAAAGGCATGCCTTGGACTGGGGGAAGCAGCTCTGTGTGGCTCCTCTCCGTGACGGGACGCCACTGTGAAGGCTTTTGCAACGCCGCATGCTGGGGGCGGGGGGCAGAGCGCCGGGGGCAAGATGCGCCGGAGCCCCGGGCTGCCAGCCCTCTTGCCTTGCCCGGGCATCCCCCTTCCTTTGTCCCGCAACTTCGGCGGCCTCTTGTTTTCTTCCTGCAGACCTTTTGCCACATCCTGGCCTTGGTGGTAGCGACAGTAGTAACAGCGATCCCGACCCGCTTGGAAGCCCACGCAGAATACCTGGTGGGTGGGACTGTTGCCTGGGCCTTTTGGCCCTGGAGCGGCTGTGGTGGGGGGGGCGGGGGGCTTGTCCTCGGCCTCCCGCACCCCAGTCCAGTGGCTTGCTGCCTGCAAAGAGAGGAGCTGGGCGGCGTGTGCGTGTCCCCGCGTGCCCGCGCAGGCACCGGCCCTGTCCCTGCCTCCACAGCGGCGGCCGCTGCCGCATTCTCACTGACACGTCCAACAGCAGCCCTCACTGCAGGGCTCTGGCAGAGGTTTTTACCATATATGGCCATCGCGGCGCTTTGGGCTGGGAGTCGTCCTGAATAATTTCCACCCTGTGCTTCGATTGGCCGCGTTGAGCCGGGGAATGGTGGGATAGGAGCTCTGCTGCAAAGAGGGAGAGCGGCTTCGAGTCAAGTGGAAAGGACGGTTAACGCTTTGCTCCCTGGATCGCCTCCGCCGTGCCTGTGCCAGCTGAAACCTGTCTGGGTTTCCTGAGCGAGCGGAAGGTTTAAATAATCCTCGTACTGTTATCTGGGGAAGCATCCCAAGCTGGATCTCTTGGCAGTGCTGGCCGAAGTGCATGATGTATGGAATTAAAAAACAGTGGAAAAAACAGCGCTGCTGAAGCATCTCTGCCTAGTCCTTGCTCTATCCCCACAAGAGGGAGGGGTGTGCCCAAGTGCCCGCCATGGCAGAAATCTCTGATCTCTTTGCATTTTTCTTTTTTATTACACCGAACAGTGTTTTAAAAGCACGCTTCCCTTTTTGGGGTAATCACAGGGCAGAGAGCCGAGAGGACGTAAATACTCAGGGCAGCTCCTGAGATTGCAGTAGAGCCGAGAGCTTTTGCGGCAGAATTCAGGCCTTGTGGGCACTTTTGGTTCCTTGCCGTGTCTGAGTACCAGCAGAAGCACCGCAGGGAGAGGATCTGTGGGTGCGAGGGTGGGATAGGAGCTCTATCCAGGTGCCCCTCTTTCCCCTTCTGCAGGGTGCCGTGGCTCGGGGTGGGCTGCCACGTTTTGCTGAGGTTGGGCCACGGGGTGGAGAGTTGGGCTTTGTGTAGGACACAGATGCTTCAGAATCTTCATGTTGATCATGTTTCCAAATGCGCAAGGTGAAACTTCAGCCCCGGTAGGAACGGCACGAGGTTCCGTATTCCTTGGGAATATTTGGAAGCTTCAGTGAGAGGTTTAAACTATTTTTTCCTCTTCAGCCAGATGTTGTGAATACAACTCGAAAGTTGTTGTGTTTTTCTTTTCAGCCACGCAGGCTTTTATTCAGGAAGCCAACTTCTTCTCGAGCCAGTGACCATGTCGGCTGGGAATCATGACTGCTTGTTTTGCACTCTGCTTGAGTCGTGCTAGAGGCGCTGGTTAGAGACACTTTCGAACCAAAAATTCTCGGGGTCTAGAAAGTACTGGCTTTTCACTTCAGGCGGCAGGCAGGCAGGTGCTTCCTGGTTGGCGGAATCTGCAGAAGGGAAAATTCTTGCACATAGATTGCCAGCGTGGGGTCGATGCGGAGACGGGTATGCTGATTTTCCACACGTGTGGAATTGCTTTGCATAGAGAAGTGGTCACGAGCCCTGGCCTGGCACGTCAAAGCAGTACAGGCCAAAAATCGGCTTGCCTCATGTGAGAATTAGGTCTCAGGCACATAAAAGGAGCTTTTCACAGTGGCTAGCAAGATGCTTCTGGAAAGTCAAGGGACAAGGGACCTTTCCTAGCCCCAGCATCAGTTTGCGCTTCTGAGAGGCATTCCAAGGACTGCAAGTGGTGGTTGGCACGGAAGATAAAAGAGTTGAGGGTCAGAAAACATCCATGAGAGACTGTTTTAGCATAATTTTCAGTAATTAAGCCTTAGGAGAGTCATTTCAGTCTTTTAGAACAGGGGAAAACATGCGCAGGAGCCAGGAAACCACTCAGCGATCCGTGATTTGGAGAAATCCCCCTGGGGAGCCCCCATGGAGCAGGCGGTTGCTTTTGTGCTCCGTGTGCGAACTTCCTGGAGGCACCGGAACTTGTGTCACATGTTTCTGAGTACAGCATGCTGTTTGGTTGCTGCTTTCCTTAAAGCTGGATTTTTCTGTGCAGTTTTTCTCTTGTACACTTACGTGGAAAGGAAGTTTGCCAGAAATTCCCCCGTCACTGAACTGCAAGACCTGTATTCTTCTTGCCTTAAATGTAAGCCTGGGCCCAGACTCTTTGTTCACTGGGCCAGTGTGCTATTCATTAACTTGCACTGGCTTTCAGAGGACTCTCTCTCTGGTCCAAAGCAGGGGGCAGTTCCTGTGTTGCTGTTGCTCTGTCTCCTGTCACGGTTCTGGGCTGGTTGGCGTAATAGGCTGAGCAGCTCCGAGGGATCTCAGAAACACCCATCACGACTGTCCCAAGCATTTCTCTTGAATTGAAAAGATGCATGTTCACACTGGGTGTTTCTCTAAGTCAGCGTCTGTTGCTTTGTAAGAACACAGGGCATCCTTGGCTGTTTGTGGTTTGGTCGAATACTTCCTCTGTTACATAAACCACATCAGGAGAGAGCTCAAACTGAATTTATGTTGTTCCTTTTCGGAAGGTCCGGCTAGCATTTAGGCAGGACGTGTGCGCAGCTTTCCGCTTGCGATGGTGGGGGGCGGCAGTGAGGGGAGATCTCACACCGGCGTGGTTTTTCCCGTGTTTCAAATATTCTTTCTGCGCATACAGTTCCATTATATCATTGAGACAATTTCTGTTGGAAAGTTTCTAAAGCAGCCTTACCCAACCTGGTGCCTTCCAAGTGTGATTGTGCAGGCTGGGGATGATGGGAGTTCAGGTCCAGGGCCTCGGACAAGTACTGTGTTGAAGCCTGCTCTACTGGGAGGCCAGCATGTCATCCATGGGGAAGACTCTGCAGTTGCATTGATATACTCTGTGTGACGTTCCAGCATCTTCCCATGAATTTCCACCACACTCAGCTCCTCCGGGAGATCCCTTCTGGAACTTAGCTGTCTGTGCGTGCCTAGCGGACCTCTTGTCACTCTTCCCATGGTTCTGGGGCAGTGCGAACAGCAGTTACTGCTTTACTTGCTTTTCTGTTTTGGAGCGGCTGCCAGCACTTCCTTGCATAAGCCTTGCCTATGAAAATGTTGGCTTTAGTTTGGAACATGGCATGGAAATTTGAAGCTTGGGAGCAAAACTCTTCCTCATTTTTGGAAGCTGAAGTATTTATTTTGCTGGGAAGGGACCAGCACGGAAACTGCCTCTCCTGCACTCTCCTCACAGCCGAAGCTTCGCTGGCCAAATGCACCGTGCCTGCACTGGGGGCAGTGTGGAAGCACCTATGAGTGTTGGGTTACTTCAAAGCATTGGGTCTGTGGGAGAGAAGCAAGAAGAACTCTTTCTACCCGTCTGTGGACACTTTGGCATGGAGTGAGGCTGTGACTAATTGGGTCGGCCTCGAGCCAGTCAACAGGCAGTCTACCAGCTGGGAATTATCACCGGAACATCACGTTTCTTGTTCACTGCCATCCCTCTTGTATTCATGAGGAATTTAGGGAGAAGGCGAAACCTTGAAAAGCCAGTCCTGGCATG